CCTTGGCACAGTAGGACCGGTCCTGAGACTGACCTGGTCTTTGTATCGGTCTTTATATATAAGTTATTACATGCATATTGAAACTTCTAGAAAAGACTGTCTCCCTGTCTCCAAGGAAAAAGAAAATTAACGTTAATAAAGTATAATAAATCCGTCTTTATACATGTTATTTGCTTATAATATACGTCTGGAATGGTTCCTATAAATTTATGCAATCAATGTTCATTTATAAAGGAAGACTGTTCCTAGTAAAGTAATAGAAAATTTTTTATTTGCAGAAAAAAGAAAAAAGACTGATCGGTCTTAAAAAGACTGCAGTCCTTAAAAAGACCGTCGGTCTTATTGTACATGTTACAGGACCAAAAGACCGCGGTCCTACATCAAGACGGACTGGTCCGTCTTTTTAAGGTGTAGGACCGCGAGACCGTGGTCTTTTAGGACCGATGCTGTCTCTTATACACATCTAGATGTGTATAAGAGACTACTTTTAATATGCTTTGAAAAACTTCATAACTATTTTTATCCAAAAATCTGCAATAATTGTACAATTTCCACACGGACTTGAACAAATATTGTACAAAAATTGGATGATTTTTTTTCATAGGGCTAGCGGTCAAACCTAACCTTCCATAAAAATAATAATAACACGTAATAAGTCTGTAATAATTCCGGCGCCTTAATTTACTCGTAAGGTAATACACATTATGTTATATTGCTGGAAATTATTTGAATAATTCATTCTTGATTCACGTTAATAAAAATTTCACCAAATTATTATTTTTTAACTTATTAACATATGAAGTGGTTATAGAAGAAGAGATAAAGTAAACCGCACAGAATTTTACCGACCCTGGAACGCCGCTGTGCATAGTAAGTCTATCTCAGAACCCTGGATCCGAAAGTTTAACTTCTCTTGATGAATCAATGGATATCGATGAACATCAAATGTTTGAAATAGATAATACTCAACCTCGTCCTTGGAACGCGGCTAGCTTAAAAAAAAAATCGATATTATTAATAATGGATCTTTTGTTAAAATATTTTTACATGTCGAATATCAATTCTTCTTGCTACCATAAAAAAAAAACTTGTTATACTATATAGAAGAATTTCCCATCATTATAAATATTTTTTTAAGGACTACAACATATCACGTTATGTACAACGTTGACAAAAAAACATTTCAGTATAGAAAAAGAATCAATTCAATTCTAAAATTATCGATCATAATTCATAAAATCATCATAGTACATATGAAAAAAGTGACAATAATCTTAATCACACTATATAGCTGCTTCAACATAAAACGTGATTTACTGATGATATATTATTTATTAAAATAAAAACATAATTTGACTCAAAAGTATTGAACTGAACCGAACGATGAGGACAATGTTTTACGCATATAACGTGATTTTTTTAGTAAAATTATATATTAAATAGCGAAATCTTGGAATTATTTATGAAAAAAATTTAAAAAAAAAAAAAAAAAAGAATTAGTGGGAAAAAATAATTGATGCTCTCAATCAAAAGATTGATTTAATTTATATGAATGTTCAACAATAGTTGTAATAGTTGTGAACGATCATCGAAAATATTTGTATTTCTTATTCATATGGTGAATAAAAATTTAGGTTTTTATTTAATATTTATCGTTATCCACATTCATTGTATTGTAAAGTTGTAAATTATGGATCATGAAATATTAGAACTGGTTGTTAGATGACGTATCAAAGAATTTTCTGTTTTGTAATCAACATCATAATGAACGTTTCCATAACTCTTTAAAGAACAGAGGTTGATTATTGAAGAATATGTGGAATAATATGAAACACCGGTTCTTCGATTTTTAATTATTGTTGTTCTTGGTTGAAATGCACGGTTAAATGTGATTGTACAAACGAGATATACATAGTAATATGGAATAAAAAATTTAATAAACGTGTTCTCATATAACTATATTACTTGTTCTGTATTGACAGGAGACAGGATAGGCAAGTGGGAAAAATGATCCTTCTGAGTTTCTACTCTCCAGTCTTTATCTAAGGCTTTCTAAATTTATCCATTTGTCCCGCGGTAAAAAAGTAATTGCGATTGTTGACATCGTGCTATTTTCTAGGAATACAAAATATAAATTTTCTGTAATACCTCACGAAATTGGCTTATAGCGTACTGCCTGCTATTGATAACTAAGCATAATTACGGGTTCTAAATAAGCAGACACAAACGTAATTTTTCCCCAAAAAAGAATAGTTCTAGGCAATAGATAACATCATAGTTGTTTCATAGTCAGTTGACTTAGTAAAGATGGTCATCGGTCCTACCGGAGTACCGGTCCTACTCGGTTCTGGACCGGTCGGTCCCAGGACTTGTAGGACCGGACCGCGGTCTTTCATTTTTTCTTGGCGCAGCAGGACCGGTCTTAAGACTGACCTGGTCTTTGTATCGGTCTTTATATATAAGTTATTACATGCATATTGAAACTTCGCCTTATTTCTAGAAAAGACTGTCTCCAAGGAAAAAAAAAAAATTAACGTTAATAAAGTATAATAAATCCGTCTTTATACATGTTTTTTGCTTATAATATACGTCTGGAATGGTTCCTATAAATTTATACAATTAATGTTCATTTATAAAGGAAGACTGTTTATAGTAAAGTAATAGAAAAAATTTATTTGCAGAAAACCCTGTAAAAAAGTTAATCCGTTTTTTATATTCCATTTTTTTTTCGTAAAAGGCTCATATCTCCGGAATTAATAACCTTATATTACGGAATTTATCAAATTATTTACATATGGATCCGGGAAAGGCTCATTTTTACGGAGTTTTTACAGAAATAACGGATAAAATTTTTTATAGGGAAAAAGTAAAAAGACTGCAGTCCTTAAAAAGACCGTCGGCTTATTGTACGTGTTACAGGACGGACCGGCCCGTCTTTTTAAGGTGTAGGACCGCGAGACCGTGGTCTTTTAGGACCGATGTCCATCTTTTAGTTGACTTGTTTCGCAATAATATTCTTGTACCAATCTGCTACTGTGACTAGTACATCACGTAATTTTTCGGTAAAAAGTTAGGTAATTTTCACGCACGTCATTGGATGTCGGTAAAATGGATGCCCGTGAACCATTATTCAATAGCTGCAGAGTGCAGATGCCAATTTAGGTAATTTACTTAAAAAATTGAAAAAGTTTCATAGATGCATACCAACATCATGGTCCGATGGTCGGGATAGAACCAACCCAGTATGGGCCTTCATTTATCCATATTTTGCAACTCGAAACTCTTTTTCACGTGATCTCCCAAAAATCCGACACAAAAATCCCGATAAATGCGATGAATTTGAGAATTGAGATTAGTAAACTTTTAATACAATTATTTTTAATTTAAAAGACAAGATATACTGTACATAGTACTTTCAATCAAAATAAAAATTTTTCTTTTAATTTAGTTAATTAGAAATTGATGAATAGTTCAATTTGTTTTGTCATAACGTTTAAGTATTTAAATAAAATTTAACCTTCTAAAATATTTATTTGAATAAAAAGATTAAAATTATATTTAAACACGGTCCTATTTTTAAAGATTTTTGATCATCAAAAAAAAAAAAAAAAAAAATTATCATCCCGTTAAAATACTGCGGAAGTCTCCAATAGTATTTTAAAAAAAATTTATGACCATTAAATATTTGATGATCCTTTGATAATACGTAAAATTTATAATAATATTACAATAAATTTCTGATAAATTTGGTAATATGGTTTAACTTTTTTATTCAATAATAAATTAAAAAATAATCTATAAACTAAAAAAAAAAAAATGTATCGTGTGTATATCTATATTTTTATATTTAAAAGCGAAACTATGCTTGCTTTGATTTTTTTCTATTAAATAAAGAATTTGAAGTATGTTTAATCAAATTGAATGCAATTCCAATAAGTGCAGGAATGATAATTAATAAAGATCCATAAACGTCAAGATTATTTGCTTTAATAAATCCCATTCTAGACTCAGCAGGAATCCATTCTTTTAAAAAGTCGTCATCTAAGTATTCATTTAAACCACTACTATATAACATATATTCAATTAAATCGGCTGCTCTATATTTTCTATTACTATTAATTCTGGCTAGATATTTCATTCTCTTTGAATTTTTCTTTACATGTTCATCATTTAATAAGACATTGACTTTATTTAAAATATCTTTGACATCCAAAGCATTTTTATTTAATGATAATGCTATACCGGCTGTTTCTAATCTTTGAGCGTTACCCATCTGATCGCCACCAAAAGGTAACACTAACATAGGAGTACCAGTATAAAGAGATTCATGAGTACTTCCTGCGCCTCCATGGCTGAAAAATAATTTTGTATTTGTGTGATTAAGTACAGCGAATTGTGGTGCAAACTTTGTAATATGAATATGTGGATGTTCATTATTTAAAATTGGTAAAGTTTGAACTTGTGTACCATCAATAAAGTTTAATGTTGGACTGAAATCATCTTTTGATGTCTCAGATAATGCCCAAACTACACCATCAACCATTTTATTGTTGATTGCTTCATAAAGTGATTGTAAAATTTTGTTGTTATTCTCGATAGTTGTGTAGAAACGTGTACCAAAAGCTACGTATAAAACTCGTATGTGTCCATTTATAAAATCCGAGAGTTCAGGAGTAAGTGGGGGATATACTTCTGATAATACTGGTCCAATTTCCTATTAATTTGAAGAATGAAGAAAATTAATCTTTTATAATTTTTTATAATTTTTGCTAAACTTCATATACAATCCGTCCATCATCCGACGTGGAAGTATCCGTCAGTTTAATAATCCGAAGGATAAGTCCTTGAATATCCTCGGATTTTAGTGGATCATTATCCATCGAACGGATTTAACGTACGGATCATTAATTACCTGAACATTTGGTGCTGAAGATTGTGGTAACTTTAAGATAAAAAAAAGATCATTATTTTTGTCTAGTTTGTTAAACTAATTATAATTTTTATTAGAAAGTAAATTACCTCAAAACCAAAGAAAGTATCAACCAAAGATAAGGAAAATTTTGGCTCTTTTTCCGATACGGGATTTATATTCATTTGGCCTTTTATGTCATTTAATTTACGTATAGAAGGCCCATAAGCATAAGCTATTTGTAAAGGTTGTATTAAAGTACACCTAAACCTCTCAAAAAATGATTCATTTTCTAATGAGATATTACAGCCGTACATTGGATCAGATTTATATGGTTTAGGTTCCATCACTAAACAAAAGAGAATTTTTTTTTCGTTAAATGAGTTTTGCTATTAAAAAAAAAAAAGAGGAATATTATTATTTATAATTACTTTGCATAAACGAAGTAAAACCAACGAGAGGTTTATTTAGATTATTAGCAACATCTATGCAAGCTTGGTTTACCAAAGCGTCACAAATGAATAAATCAATATTATCTTCTTTAGCAGCATTCTTAAATTTTTCATAAGTTACGTTGTAGGTAGCCGTAGCTAATTCCATAAACTTTCCCATTGTCCTATAATCGACTTCTTTATGAATATTTATACGTCTATCATTTTTGGCAGTCAAGCTCTTAGATCCTAATGTGATTTGTTTTAGACCTGGGTACTCTGATGATGGTTCATATTTTCCTGATGTTAACAATATTACCTATGAATCGAGAATGTAAATAGGAGAAACTTAGACCAACGATCAAACCAGTATCATGTAGAATAAAAGAAAAACCCTTACGTTGTGGCCTCTTTCAATTAATATAGTAGTGACATCTAACATTGGTTTAAGATGGCTTCTTCCTCCAACATAAGAACCGACCAAAATATTTTTAGGCGAACGCTCTACATCAATATTTCTAGGAACATATTCTTGCGCCACGGCATTAACGTGGACTTGATTTAATAATAGAACGAGTATCGATAATAAGAAAATAAGATTTTTATTAATCATTTTGATGTTTAATTTTGATATTGGATATATTGGATCGAATCGATAAAAGAAATCATCGCTTTATTTATACGTATTTTTTTTTATACTGATCGATTTTAAAATGCAAAATAACTTATTCGGTCAATTAATATTCCGAATCATTATAATACTTTCCTGTCAAACTGGAATAATTTTTAAAATATCCATTACATCAGAATTTCGGTTTAGCGGACCCGAAAAATCCGTAAATATGTGATGATCTCTGCAAAATAAAATTTGGTTCACGTGATATGCATAAAATTAACTTTGTATCAAATGTTTCAGATAATAGTGATAAGATAATTTGTCTCAAAAAAAGGAATTTTCTAATGCTTAATGGAATAAACCGTAGAACAAATTTCTTTGATTTATCCGATTATGGATCTTTCATGGAAAGGTCTTCTGTTTTTTTTTATCTTTGAAATGATTTTGGTTGATATGTTTTGTATCTTAAATTTGTTTTTTGTACATGATGTAAATAAAATATTTAAAAATAAATTCATATATAATTTACTTGAAAAAAAAAAATTCAATTATAGTAATTATAGTATAAGTTGTTGAAATGGGGAGTCGGATAAATTCATGTCAAGAGTCGGGTAATTTCATGTCCGTCAGTCGGTTAATTTTCATGTCTCGGGTAAATGGGATATCTGTGTAACCGCTGCAAATACCAATTTAGGATATTTTTTATTAAAATTGATAACAAGTATATACTGTATACAAACAACTTTCAACTGATTCTGGGTTTATTGTTATTAATTTTTAGTTAATATTAAACATATATATGAAATGCCGATTTGGGTCAGGTGATAACTGACGTAAAAATTGATCAATAAAATTAAGGTATAATTGAACATTAAATTTTCTAGTCTAGTCTTAATAATTTTTTTTATTATTAAATAAATTAATAAATTTTATTATCAAATCCTGACAACCATAAAATCTCGATGTAACGAACCCACGATGTAACGACTTACCGAACTTTTTTTTAAAAACCAGTTTCATAGTATTTAAAAACATCTTGATATACCGAACATCATATAAACTTTATATAACGTATACCGAATTTTTATTGATTTACGGCTTATTATAAAACAATAATAAAAAATTTTTGATATACCGAATTTAGTCACATGATTATTCAATTTCGCCTGAAATTAACTAATTTCGGCCAGAATTAGAACCACTTGATTTTTACTCTGAGATATTAATCACGTGATTTTCTTGATACACCGAACTTTCCCTAAAAAAACTTAGGTGTTAGGTATATAAAAAAATTTTCTTTACCGAACTCTACTATATATCGAACTTTTACTCCCAAACCTTGGGTTCGGTATATCGAGATTTGACTGTAAATGCAATCCTGACAGTCACACAGCCAAAATCCTGACTGGGATATGCAATTTCAGAAGATTAGTAATCTAGTAATATACTATACATACTACAGTAGTCCTTTAATTATCGCCATTTTCGAATTAGTGTGATCAGCCGCATTTTTGCTATTTGATTATAAAATAACTATCACATGAACATATACGTATTTTATATGAAAATATATATATATAATTTACATATGTAGTTTTAAGGACCCAACGTGGATTTCATGTGGATCTGATTTTATGTGTAAAATAAATTTATATAAACCTTGTATAAATTTTTTTATTTTAAATTCAAATAAAATCATATGCAATTTTTAATATTTAATATTAAAATTGCAAATTTATTGTTGTTTACTTTGAAATATTATACAGTTATATTTTTATAGCTATTTAATTTTACTACTAACTAGAAATCATCTGATTCATCTGATGATATTGAAATAGAAACATCATTATTATATTCATTATCCTATAAAAAAATTATCATGTTTATAAAAAAAAAAAAATTATATATTGTTCTGGATCTAGAATCATAAAGTAGCGACTCATCATCTCATCAAATGAAGTTTCTAAACTGCCACCGGACTTTGTAATAAAATGGAGGGTAATTTTCACGTACGTCATTTAGATGTCGGTAAAATGGATACCTGTGAACCGTTATTCAATAGCTGCTGCAGATGCCAATTTAGGATTTTTTTTATAATTTACTTAAATTGATACTTAAATACGCACGCATAAAGGTTTTCACAGATGTATACAAACTGGTTTTTTATTATTATGGTCGGGATAGAACCAACCCAGCAGGGTCTTCATTTATCCATATTTTACAACCGAAACTCTTTTTCACGTGATCTCCCAAAAATCCGACACCAAAACCCGATCCCGATGTCGATCGGATGAATTTGATTTTAATGAGTAATTTTAGAAGATAAGGAATAGATTAAAAATCTAATAATATACTGTACATAGTTTTCTCAATTAAAATAAAAAATTTTCTTTTAATTTGGTATTATTAGAAATTGATAAATAATAGTTCAATTTGTTTTGTCATAACGTTTAGGTAGTTAAATAAAATTTTCTATTTTTAAAGATTTTTGATTATCATAAAAAAAAAAAAAAACATCCCGTCAAAATACTGTGAAGTCTCGTCACTTTCCAAATAGTATTTTAAAGAAAATTATAAAAATTATGATTATTAAATGATATTTGATCCTTTGATAATACGTTAGTAAATGAGTGATAGGTCGGTAACATTAATATTAACCCACTTCGTAACATGTGGCGCAGTATAGAATAATCAATAATCATGTGATGTAGAAAAAACGAATTCTTAATAGGATAGTGAACATTAGAAGTTTAATTAATAACCCTAAAATGAGTACTTTAAATTAGTTATATAAGAAGTAACTTTTGGAGGAGTTTTAGGAGTTCTTACGACTACTTTATTATTATTTCCACAGGACCCCGGAAACTCTATAGATAGGTTGCAGTTAAAATGGGTAAAGTCATAAGAAAATATTTTGCAAATCATTACTAAAAATGGCTAAATTATATACTTAAAAGGAAGGTGATACCAATTTTGTTATGATTTTTTTTCTTTTTTGACCATCTATCCAATAGGAGTTTGGGTAAAGTTCATATAAAAAATTCAATTTTTTAGACCAACCTTTATATATAGTTTCCGGGGTCCTATTTCCACAATGCAATTTTAATAACTCAATAAATAAATTGAGATTTTATTAACCCAAAACTCGTGTCTTATAATTTATGTAATCATAAACCAAGCAAAAAAATTTTATTTAATAAAAGTACTTATTTTATTTGATTTAACTCAACTTCGCTTGATGGGAGACGGAGAAGGTGGCAGCTTTTCTCACACGGCAACGTAAAATTTATAGTATAATTATAATTACTAATAAATTTGGCAATATGTTTAAACTTTTTTATTCAATAATAAATTAAAAATAATCTATAAACTAAAAAAAAAATGTATCGTGTGTATATTTTTATATTTAAAGCGAAACTATGCTTGCTTTGATTTTTTTCTATTAGATAAAGAATTTGAAGTAGTATATTTAATCAATTTGAATGCAATTCCAATAAGTGCAGGAATGATAATTAATAAAACTCCATAAATGTCAAGATTATTTGCTTTAATAAATCCCATTCTAGACTCAGCAGGAATCCATTCTTTTAAAAAGTCGTCATCTAAGTATTCATTTAAACCACTACTATATAACATATATTCAATTAAATCGGCTGCTCTATATTTTCTATTACTATTAATTCTGGCTAGATATTTCATTCTCTTTGAATTCTTCTTTATATGTTCATCTTTTAATAAGAAATCGATTTTATTTAAAATATCCTTGACATCCAAAGAATTTTTATTTATTGATAATGCTATACCGGCTGATTTTATTAATTTTTGAGCATTGCCCATCTGATCGCCACCAAAAGGTAACACTAACATAGGAGTACCAGTATAAAGAGATTCATGAGTACTTTCTGCGCCTCCATGGCTAAAAAATAATTTCGTATTGGTGTGATTAAGTACAGCGAATTGTGGTGCAAACTTTGTAATATGAATATGTGGATGTTCATTATTAAAATTGGTAAAGTTTGAACTTGTGTACCATCTGTAAAGCTTAACGTTGGACTGAAATCATCTTTTGATGTTTGAGATAATGCCCAAACTACACCATCAACCATTTTATTGTTAATTGCTTCAACAAGTGATTGCAAAATTTTGTTGTTATTCTCGATAGATGCGTAGAAATTTGTACCAAAAGCTACGTATAAAACTCGTTTGTGTCCATTTATAAAATCCGAGAATTCAGGTGTAAGTGGGGGATATTCTTCTGATAATACTGGTCCAATTTCCTATCAATTTGAAGAATTAAGAAAATTAATCTTATTATAATTTTTGCTAAACTTCATATACAATCCATCCATCATCCGCCGTGGTAGTATCCGTCAGTTTAATAATCCGAAGGATAAGTCCTCGGATTTTAGTGGATCATTATCTATCGGACGGATTTAACGAATGGATCATTAATTACCTGAACATTTGGTGCTAAAGATTGTGGTAACTTTAAGATAAAAAAAAAGGTCATTATTTTTATGAGATAATTTTATCCAGTTTGTTGAACTAATTATTAAAATGTAAATTACCTCAAAACCGAAGAAAGTATCAATCAAAGCTAAGGAAACTTTTGGCACTGTTCCCGATACCGATTTTATATTCATTTGGTCTCTTATGTCATTTAATTTACACATCAAAGGCCCATAAGCATAAGCTATTTTCAAAGGTTGTATTAAAGCACACCTAAACCTCTCAAAAATTGATTCATTTTCTAATGAGATATTACAGCCGTACATCGGATCAGAGTTATATGGTTTAGGATCCATCACTAAACAAAAGAGAATTTTTTTTCGTTAAGTGAGTTTTGTTATTAAAAAAAGAGGAATATGATTATTTATAATTACTTTGCATAGATAAAGTAAAGCCAACGACAGGTTTATTTAGATTATTAGCAACATCTATGCAAGGTTTATTTGCCAAAACGTCACAAATAAATAAATCAATATTATTTTCTTTAGCAGCATTCTTAAATTTTTCATAAGTTACGTTGTAGGCAGCCGTAGTAAATTCCATAAACGGTACCATTGTTCTGTAATCAAAGTCTTTATAAATATCCATTTTAACTTGTTTGACAGTCATTTTAGGCCCTAATGTGATTTGTTTTAGACCTGGGTACTCTGATGATGGTTCATATTTTCCTGCTGTTAATAAAATTACCTATGAATCGAGAATATAAATAGGAGAAACTTAGACCGATGATCAAACCAGTATCACGTAGACTAAAAGAAAAAACCCTTACGTTGTGACCTCTTTCAATTAATATAGTAGCAACATCTAACATTGGTTTAAGATGGCTTCTTCCTCCAACATAAGAACCGACCAAAATATTTTTAGGCGAACGCTCTATATCAATATTTCTAGGAACATAATCTTGCGCCACGGCATTAACGTGGACTTGATTTAATAATAAAACGAGTATCGGTAATAAGAAAACAAGATTTTTATTAATCATTTTGATGTTTAATTTGATATTGGATATTGGATCGAATCAATAAAGGTAAAACATCGCTTTATTTATACGTATTTTTTTTATACCGATCGATTTTAAAATGCAAAATAATTTATTCGGTCAATCAGTATTCCGAATTATTCCGATATTATTATAATACTTTCCTGTCAAACTGGAATAATTTTAACTTTAAAATATCCATCACATCAGAATTTCGGTTTAGCGGACCGGAAATCTGAAAATGTGATGATCTCTGCATTATGAATAAATAAATTTAATTTATGTGATATGCATAATAGTGATAATTTAAATTGTCTCAAAAAGGTTAAATTTAAATTCTAATGCTTAATGGAATAAACCGTAGAACAAATTTTTTTTTTGATTTATCCGATCACAGGATCTTTCATGGAAGGTCTTCTGCTTTTTTATCTTGGAATAATTTTGATTGAAGTAGAACATGCTATGTTTTGTATCTTAAATTCAGTTTATTTTTGCAATATGATGTAAATAAAATATTTAAAATAAATTCATATATAATTTACTTGAAAAAAAAAATTCAATCATAATATAAATATATAATTGTTGTTGAAATGATGAGTCGGATAAATTCATGTCAGGAGTCAGGTAATTTCATGTCAGTCGGTTAATTTTCATGTCTCGATAAATTGGATATCTGTGTGACCGCTGCAAATATCAATTTAAGATATTTTTTTAAATTTATAAAAAAATTGATAATACGAACAACTGATAAAAGATACATACATACCCTATAAAAAAAATTCTGGCGGTAAATGATCATTTTTCTAGTTTTTATTCCGAAAAAAAATCAGACACGTGATCATTTTTCTGAAAAATTTTTTATAAGGATACTGTATACAAACAACTCAAACAACAACTGGGATTCTGGGTTTATTGTTGTTAATTGTTAGTTAACTAATGCCGATTTTGGTCAGGTGATAACTGACGTACGTCAAATGAAAATTGATCACATAAAATTAAGGTATAATTGAACATTAAATTTTCTAATCTTAATAATTTTTTATTATTAAATAAATTAATATATTTTATTGTCACATTAAAAAATACATACCTAAAATGTCGACACTTCTTCAAATTATTTATTTCCCGAATATCGAAGCGTGATGAAGGACTTTCAAACAATGCAAGACCAATTCAATGTCCGTCTGTCACGCCGTATATTACGAGATTTTTAAGTAAATTTACAATTTTCATATAAATCAAATTAGTATAAAATTATCATAATATGTATAATTTTCATTATAAAAATATATATATATAAAAAGTGTTGGTGACGCACGTCAGGTATCAATTTAAGAAAAGGTTGCGCGACGTAACATCAAATTGATTAAACGAAAAAAAATGGTGGAATAATGGATTTATTTATAAAAATAAATATTGTAACACATGTTATTTAATTATATTCAAAATTTACTGTATGTTAATTTTCTTTAATAACCTTAAATGCTTAAATTTAAGATCAACATTATTGGCTAAGAATTTTTCTAACTACCGGTAACTGAAATTATGACGATCGACCAGCATTAAAAAAATATAGTGTTGGTAAAAATTGATAATTCCGGCCAACGGTGACACTGAAGTAAAAAACTTATCAAATTAACTAAATAATATATTCTTTCGTTTATTATTACTTAAAGTAATAGAGTAGATCTAAATCAGGAATGTGTCATACGAAACAAAAAAAAAAGTGAAATAATCATATATTGTTGAAGTAAAAAAAAGTGTTAATCTCAATTAGAATTAAGAACCTATTTTAAATTTTTTTTATAAACAAAATTCGTAATATTTGTAAATGAACTCGCCGATAAATAAACCATGAAAAAAAAATTCATGATCAACACCAGATTGATACTGATCCACTCTTGAATCACATCTCCCAAAACAACCCATAACCAACATATTGGCGGCCTTCTCTAAATTATAAAGACTATATAATAAATTTCAAAATAATGTCTTATCCCAATGGTCCGAATAGCCACCTAACCGCTCGATAGTTACGTTAATTATTCTGTAATACTTTATATACAATTTTGACTCAATTTGGATTATTGGTTATTAGGAAATTCAATGCGTATGATAGTTTTACGAATTTAAAATAAAGATAAACATTTTTAAGTATTTAAAAAATATAATCATATCATTTTGAAAAACTATAGTTATTAAGATATTCAGACTTTACATCTGACAACGTCATCAAAAATCGACACAACACCATACAAATATAAATAAACACTGTTTTTAGTTTTTGCATAATGCCAAGAATAATACAGTTCACCCTTACTATTTATACCGAATTTTTAAAGGGTTACATAATACATACTAGGTCTTTATCACATGATACTTGTTATGTGCGAAAATTCTACAATGTTAAAAACTTCATATTTTAAGGAGTTGGGCTTTTAATGATCATAAAGAAGAATGTCAATTTTTTGTCATACCAATTTGACGTGCTAATTTTTAACTAATAAAAATAAAGGAAAGTATGTAAGTCACTTGATTACAATAAATTTTTGATATAGTAAAATTTTCATAATATCCTGTAGTGAATTCCCTCACTATAACGAATTTTAATCTCCAGCTGCTGTAGTGAAGGTGAGCTATTTATTCTAATTATTCCTTTTAATAAATCCCCCATCCTAAAATCAGCGGGAATCCATACGCATTCTTTTAAAAATTCTTCATTAACTCCTTCATTAAGACTACTACTATATAATATATCGTCAATTGAATCAGCACCAATTGGATTTAATGTTGAAGAATACTAGCTAGTATTCTTTGATGTCTAATAAATTAATGCCAAGTCTACTAGTACATTATCGATAATGTTTTATTAATTTCTTCGTCAAATAATTGTAAGAAATTTCAAGTAATTTTGAGTAGAAAGCTATATAAGACACGCTCATTCCAATTTCAAAATTTACTTTGATATCACAGTTCCTCCTAAATAAGTACTTTGACCCACATTATGAAAATTTGGCGCATATTATGACAATGATCCTGGTCGACAATACTTCCATTTTACATTCTATTCAGACACGCAGAAATGCAATTGCTACGTTCCGGAGGTAGAAGCACTTTACAGAAACTTCAAGATCGTAGCGATGGCTTAATGCGCAGTAACTGCATATATGTAATTTCTTTACGATTACATAATGTGGTCACTAAACATGGGTATCGAAACCTCCAGAAGCATTTCCGAAAGTTTCGGGTTTAGGTATATACGAATCGAAACTTGACCCGAAACCTAAACTCTCACCGAATCCCAAAACCATTTCCGATATCCGAAACATATCCCGATTTTCCAATTTTTCAAATTTTCTATAATATATAAATTGATCAGTTGATCACTAGACAGATTACTGATAATCTCTTTTTCCTTCGTGTTTATTAACTTCGTACTCTGTCTTCGTTTTATAACTACAAGTCTACAACTCTCTAAGAATGTCTGATAATGGTGATAATAGTGCACCTTCAACTTCAAAAAAAATAAAGTCCACCAATTCTGGTGGACGTCCAAAAAAACCTATTTAGAGATTTTTTGAACAAGGGGATGAAGTAGATAAGGGACATTATGCTGCAACGTGTTCAGCTTGTGGCCAAACTTTTAGACCTGGAAAGACTGCAATAATGGAAAAACATATAATTAATTGTTCAAAGGTGGACCATTCAATTCGTGAAGCTGTCATGTATATGGTAGAAACGCGTGAAATACCTTCCTTTAATCCTACAAATCCTAAACGAAAAATCACACAAGTTGAGAATGATCAAACAACTTTGAATAATTTTTATGAAAACTCAGAATTAAGTAAAGAACGGAAGGAAGCTATTGTCACGTGATTGGTGATCCTGCCAATTTTGTAGAACAAATGAACAATGTAGATCTATGTCACTAATATCACGAATGTCATAGATGTATGACATATCATGAAAATCATATATAGTTGATAGGTTTAATATATTTATTTTATCTGTTATATATTATATGTATGATTTATGAGTTATATTAGTTATATATTATATAGTTATTATATTTATTTTATCTATTATTTTTGTTATATCAAAATATATAGTTAATTTTATATAAATACAACGCTGTAGACAAGTGAGAAGGGAAGGACGCTCAAGGTTGTTTAGTTTAGGAATCATGATGAAGTAATTTTGGTTTTAATGGATCCTTTATTCATGTCTGATCGTATATGCCAGAGTGTTGCTATACTTTATTCATGTCTGATTGGATCATTATGATTGTTTAATTCTTTATTCATGTCTGATC